GGGAAAGAGAAAGCAGATAGAAAAAGAGGGCAGAGTGAATACACACTAATCTGCAAGTACTGTACTTGCCAGATGTTGGCCTAGTAGACCTGATTTAGTTACACCAATTATTACCTCCAAGGGAGGGAGTTGTTTTTACTGGCATTTGTTCGCTTGTTTATTAACAGCACATCTCAAAAAGTAATGAATGGATTTGGAGAGGTAAAGTATGGGTCATGGAAGAACCGATTAGATTTTGGTGCTGATCCAAATCATAATTTGGACACAGGAATTTTTAAAAAATTGGTAACCATTGTGAGTGCTGGAAAGGCAGCTGACTGCATGTGAGCTCCCTCCTGACCGAAGTGCACGGCTGCATTGCTGAGCACTCTAAACACATACGAACAAATCGCAGCGTTAGTGACAGCTGCCCATTCACTGCCAATGAAAACCAAGTGATGTCAGTCAGTACACCCTGCTGTGTGAGACAGGGACCGATGGAGCCCAGCAAGTTGACAGCCCACAGCTGGGGAGAGCCAGGCTCAAAGCCATTATCATTTTCATCTGTAGGACTGGTATTATGCCATTTTATTAGGTTTTGACACTTTTTCAAGTGGCAAGGTAACCACTTAGACTGGGAACATGGGGTCAGTCTATCCAGGTAATGCTAATTTAGAAATTTGTTTTGATGTTTTCAGAGAGTGTTCGTTATGTGACCAAACCAGCTCTATTAGCAGGCAGCTACAGCTTGTTTAGAGCACAGTCTGTCCATGAGGAAGCCAGTGTTCTAGATTATTATAGCTGCATTTCCACTGTCAGAACCCAACAAGCAGTATACCCCGTGCTCCCTTAACCGTCACTTTACATACCTTCACAAGTTGACATGGACTGTCCTACTTGGTCTCTTTTTAGAGGAGGGAGGGGCTGTGCTCCTCTCTCTCACACACACACCTGAGCAGAGGACATGAAGGATCACTCCGTAGTGAAACAATCAGCAGGTAACAGAGACTGTATGAGAAGTTTAATGGCTGTTGAACAAGCAGAACACACACACTTGCAGAAAAATGACATCATCACCACTTTGCCTGTGGTTCGCCCACTGAAGTCCCATTTTTACCCCTAAAGCAACGACTGAATATCTGTTATTTCCAACGGGTTTTTTTAAACTGTCACATTAATAAAAGTATCAGTGCCACTCCAAATGCCAAAAGTAGGCCCCAGACTGTCAGGATTGGCAATAGGACTTCAGCCAGCATTATAACGAACACCCCACAGGGATGTGTCCTCAGTCCCATCCTCTACACCCTGTTCACCCACGACTGTGTCGCCTCCCACAAAGACAACATCATCCTGAAGTTTGCAGTGATAGGTTGCCATCACAGCGGCCAAAAGGCAGTACAGCGAGAAGCTGAACGACTTCTATTCTACTGCTGACTCTGGATGGATGTGGCAAGGCCTGCAGCACATCACAGACTACAGGACCACCACCAGCATCATCAGCTCCACAGACAGCCTGCCGGATGACCTCAACACCTTCTACACCTGCTTTGAGACCTCCAGCCACAGCACAGAGAGGAGGCACACACACACACCGAGACCACCCCACCTCCCCTCCACTAACAGTCTCACCAGGCCAGGTACGCACAGCCCTGAGGAGGATTGACCCCCACAAAGCAGCAGGATCAGACAACATCCCTGGGAGGGCTCTCAGGGCATGTGCCAGTGTTAAGAGTGATTTTTATTTTAAAGTAGATATGAATAGAATTAGTTAAGGTTTTTATTTTATAGCATACATAAGTCTATATACTTTAATCTCAGTTATGTTTATGTAGTTACATATCACCCTATGTGTTCACTGAATCACTGGTCAATATTTATAGTCTTAGCCAACTGGAGCACTGGTTAACATCAAAGGGACTGGTTCACTAAAACAGTGAATCTCATTAGATTTACAGCTTTGGCAAAGAGAATCCACAGTTACTTTACTATCACCACCTGGCAGATAAGCCCAGGGGAATTAGGGTTCACTGTTCTATTTGTTTCCAACTAACTGCTCCATATTTCCAGTTCCAATTAAAACTGCTCTACCTGTGTGTGCGTAATGATTACAAGAGAGGTCACTCTGCAGGAATGTGTACCAGTATACATGAAGATGGCTAATTGTGTTACCCACAAAATAGTGGATTTTGTTAAAGATGGATATCAGAAAATGGTTCAAGTCACCGTCTGCCACCAAAGAAATGAGTGGATTGGATCTACCTTGTTGCAGCAATAGAAACCCACAGTGCCAGCTTTGAACATATTTGTAGGCATCAATGCAAGTGCAAGCTTTACTCAAGAAAAAGAAGTCGACTGCACGTGCAAACTGAGGCCTGTGTCCATGACTTGAGCACAGATACACAAAAGCAGGTCATGCTAAAGGCATATCCAGCAAAAATGTATGAGAGAGAGGTAAGTTGAATTAGGGTCTCAAGCACCTGTAGTACATAGCTAATGTCACACTAATACTTATTATAGATATACATCAGGTGGTATATATTTAAATTTGGTGACTTTCAGGTCCCTGCTTATTAGTGCCCTTAAGGGGCTGATGCATACTGCAGCTGTTATGTCTGTTAGTGCTGTACTGTGACTCAGTTTACAAAACAACTTACAAGTGTCGTAGGTTTACAATATTAGCCATGGCCGCCCACTGAAATTGAGTGGCTCAACTTTTGAGTTGCATGGAGCAACAGCTTTGATATTATCAGACATTTCATTTAATGTAATTTTCCAAGCAATGGCCATGGTTCAGTAGTTTCTGGCTAACAACTTTTTACATAATATTCCTGGGACAAGTCAGCTCTAAGTCTTTTGTTCCACTAACAGTGTAAGCTGAGTGTGCACTGTGTAGTCTCTAGACACAGACCCCATTATGGACATGAAGACACGTGGATGTGGTTCACTCTGTTTGGCTCAGATCTGTCGCTCCCACACCAGAGGCTCCATGGAGTCTTATTCTCCTCATTAGGAAAGGCTTCGGTTTCTCCAGTTTCCATGGAGACACACAATGTTATGTTATTTCAGATTTTTCGTTAGCATAGCTCCTTGCCTCCCTGTTGACTCTACACTTGCGTTACAGGCAGTGTGTCCACACAGTGACTGTTTGATGTCTAGTTGTACAGATTTTTGGATAACTGGTCAAATGTGTCAGCATGTCGACTACAGGAGCAGTAAAACAGATGTGGAGGGCCGATGATTTGGCCAGATGACAATCGTTAGGTAAAAGCAGTTTGTGCATCAGTCATCCAATCAAAGCAGACATGAATCAAACTGTCATGGGTTGAGTGATCATTGAAAAGGAACCATTTTTTTCAGCTTCAACGTTCCAGCATTTCAACCTTGAGGTGCTGTCTTCAGGGTTTGAATTCTCCAGTAAAGCAGAGCCCATACAGACATTACCCCAAAGACAAAATAGCTGACCTTGCGAATGACACCATCAGATGAATCCATCCAACCACCATTTTAAGAATAATTTATTCACAGGATGTGGAAGGGCCCAGCTCTAATGAGACAATGCCAAATCCTCTCTTTCTCTCTCTCTCCAGGGTCAAAAAGCTGCAAGTCAGGGGGTTTTGAAACCAGGGACAATTGCTTCTGCATTGCCTCTTCAGCTTATACTTCAGATACAGCTTCATCATAAACTCAGATATTACTGTATTCCAAAATAAGTTACAGTAGCTCTGACTCATTCAGTCCTCTCAGCCATGAGGACTGCTGTGATTTGGAGAAGCACTCCCAAATGACAGCCATATTTTTGTTTTCAAGCAAGCAATACTGGTCTGCATTTGCTTTTCTGGAAGTGACAAAACCCAATTCATGGTTTCAGGACATAGATTATCAAGTGTGATCAGCTGGTCTTTCAGAACTAAGCTTTAATTTTTATACAGCTGAAAGGTCAATGGGTTATTCCGTGTCTTTATTAATACAATCCTAACTTTCAATTTTCTCTAATCAAGCCAGTAATTAGGTACTGAAGGTACTGAGGATGAATCAGTGATCACAAAGAGAAACCTAAACAATTTAGGATTAACTCAGGTCAGCTAGCTAGAAAAAAAGAGGAAGGATCACCATTGAGAAAACATCTGCTTTGATAACACTGAATCATTCACAAATGGAATTTCACTTAATCTCCTGATTTGATTCTGAAAGTTGGAAGAGTGGTACATCCTGCAGGCGGTCAATTTTAGCATTCCCCAAGTTTAAGACTTGACAGCACCAGATGCAGTCCTGCAGCAGTACTGCTAAATACATTGTTGAGAGCGAGGCAGAAACTTTGAGGTTGGGGAAGAACAACAGCAGCACTGAGACAGAGACAGACAGGACCAAAACAAACCGAGAAACAGGAACGGAGTAAACAAGCAGATAGAAACAACGAATCTTTGTTCATCTAGCAAAGCCAGAAGCAGCTTGCAGGGCAGCTGAAACCGACAGTGGACGTCTTCATTCTAACAGCTGTGTCCTGGTCCCTCTCCACATTGAGGCTACATGCCAGCACAGCCATGCCAGTTTGGCACTGGTACAGACCGACAACCATTGTGGTGTGCGCATGAGATGAAAACTGTAGCACAAGTTTGAGCTGCATAAACTGGAAAGGAATCTGAACTGGTGGTGAAGTCAGGGCATGGTCTCCACCAACCATCGTAACACCCTCTGCAAGAATCCCTTCCACTTCTCATCCCTAAACCTGTTTAGTGGGACAATGAGCAACAAGCAAAGAAAAAGACATTTCCAGGATAATATATTGTACCTAAGTATTATTTTGAGACACATTTTACTTGTGTTTTCACTTCAATGAGCAGTATTTCTGTTTGGTGACAGATTTTGAAAATATTCCTTAGAGCACAAAAACTACGTTACATTCTATTTGAACAGACTCATCAAAATGTCAGTGGATGGTAACAGGTAGATACTTACATAGTAAATATCTAACTACAGTTTCAATTTGTGGTCTACATCCTGAAAATGTGCTAATATAGTTTCCAGTCTTACAGAAAGTATGCTGCTAACATTTTCTCAGCAGACTGTCAGTGCAGCTGCTGACAGGCAGTAGTGTACATGGGAAACACAAAGTCTGCATTATGTAGCATGCAAAACCACTTGGTTCTTGTTGCAGTAGATTCCATTGAATAAAATGCATAGCGGACCACTGCTACACTATTGTAACGAATGAAAAGGTGATAATTCCAAATCTCAAATAAAAAGACCTACATGTTTGTGTTTAAACTTAGGCCCAAGTCTAGATCTAGCTTTCTCAATTATGTATCAAAATCACTCCATATTTCCTCACCACCAGTTCGGAGAACCGCGCATGCAGCTCCTCAGCAGGCGGCATGGGGGCGCTGAACTCCAGCAGCTGCAGGGGCACGCTGTCCTTCAAGTTGATCTCCGGGGGCTCAGTGCTGCTAAAGCAGCATAAGAAGCCCAAACCCGGCCGTGTCCTCTTCCTAGGGGGCATTGTGGCTGTGGTGTGACACAGGTGGTAGTGGTGGCACTGGACCAGGAAGGTAGAGGAATAGGCCAAAGGCCAGGGAGGGGGAGTGAGAGGAGGACAAGGCTGCTATCTAGGGGGCATGATCTGGAAGAGAGAGGAGAAAGGCAGAGGTTACACACAGACAAAAACAGTGCAAGCTGGCCTATTTTTGGTTTTTAAATATCATAAAAAGTGATTCGCAATTACTTTAATACATACTTCATGTCATCATGCATGAAATTTCCATGTACAGGATTTTTTCGCAATCAACATACAGCGCAACAGAGCTTCTGCTCAGTTCATGAAGGCCCCATGCTGATCTGCAGATCCTGTGTCTGATCAATGTTTCCTTGGAAAGAAATTATTTGTAGTGCACAGGAAGCAAAGCAATTTATGTTTCCTGCTTGAATGGAATAAATACAGGAAAAATACATGACCTGCAACAACCACTGTGGCCAAATACAGTAAAAAGGCTGCCTAAAAATATTTTAAGAGAAAATGCAAGCCAGACACAACAGTCCTGGAAATACAGAAGCAATCTCTGGAACATACGCTGAAGAAATGCTTTAGCATTAAGGATCTACCACCAAAAATACAGTAACATCAACAAGGAGGAAGTGCAAAACTGTTAACAATGACATCTATGCTGCTTACAAATGTTATTATTCCCCTCACATTTGAAAATGTGCCAGGGTAGAGTTGACATCTTCTATGCTGCTCACAAATGTTATTATTCCCCTCACTGTGACCATTTGAAAATGTGCCAGGGTAGAGTTGTTCATGCTGTGATGCAGGAGAGCACAGAAACAGCAGGGTCTGCCATCATATCCCCATCCTGACATCGGTTGCTCTTAAGCCTCGATAAAGAAACCATGAGGTACAATGGTGCCTGTGCAGTGTGTGTGCGTTGTTTGTGCAGACATGCTCTGAGAGCTGCCCTAGCAGCGCCCTTACTCCATCAATGGACACTGTTTATACTGTATATGTACGTGTGTGTGTGTGTGTGTGTGTGTGTGTGTGTGTGTGTGTGTAGACAGAGACTCACACAACACGTGCAGGGTTTATACTGTATATGTACGTGTGTGTGTGTGTGTGTGTGTGTGTGTGTGTGTGTGTGTGTAGACAGTGAATGACACCCACTGTGACAGGAGCAGAGGATTAAATGGGCCAAGACACTCTGGAGGATTTCCTGAATGCTATAAAATGGATAGGTCCTGACTGTGTGAATGATACACTCTTTACACTGTGTCCTATCGGGCATACACAAACTTACACAGCATGAGCGTACACCCACACAGTTGCCAAAGCTCTTCTTTATGCAGCAGTTTTCTGCATTTGTGAGTGAATGGACTTCAGGCTTGTTATGCAAATACCGCTGTCATGCACATCCAGCAGAAATAGTTGACCTGGAAATCATGATTCCATCATACTCTGCAAATAATCTTCAACATTACATCTTTAATAATATTTGTACATGACCAAAGAAGCATTGAATAATGTCTAGACCTTTGCAACCATCTGTTTACTATGGATGTGAAAGAACAGGACTTCAGTTCCCACGAGATGCCACAATCTACTGCAGCTTAACGGAACACAACTCTCTGCCATCACTCTCACACATTTAGTAGGAGTTTCTCACTGTGCTAAAAATAGCTGGATGGTAAATTCTTTATGAATGTGCTGGACTCTCAACAGGAGCTTAAAGGGGAAAAACTCCATTTCCATTTTGCCCTTTTGTCTAAGGCTCATTTGCTGTCTCTGAATCTGCCATTCCTCTCCAGGCAGAGGAAGCAGAGATGTGAAAGGGAAATATCTGTGCAACCATCAGCGCTCTTAGTTTCTAAAAGTATTGCATCCTAAATTATTCTTCCTAATCACTTTCAAATAGAGGAACAGTTTCATAGCCATTGTATCAGTGTGCAGATTACAAATGGCATATTCATTATATTTTACCAATGCAGAGCCCCAGAAAAGCCCCAGAAACTAATTATGTGATAGTAGTTGCAGGAGGATAGAGAAACAGTAAAATAACCAACTCTAAAATAACTGACTGGAAGATTCCCGATTGATTCGGCTAACTAAGAATGCTGAAAAGCCTCAAATTAGTTTTGGATGAGTACAAAAATGCATTTTTGCTCAGAACAATGAACCAATTTTGTCCCCCATCTTTTGCATGAGAAAATGTTTTTAATAAGCCAGTATGTACAGTACAGATGTGAACCTTTCCTTTAGCACCCTCATAAGAATTTGGGTGATTTAATACTTTTGCAAATGCTTCTCAATAACTTCTTTTATGATATACTTATGTCCAGGAAGGCTTCTTTGTGTTGTGAGGTTCTACACAACATTCTGTGAATGACTATTGTTGATAATACTTTCAGTACTTTCCTTTGGCTACACTGCTGCATTCATTAGGACATACACCGATCAGCCATAACATTCTGACCACTGGCAGGTGAAGTGAATAACACTGACTATCTGTTACAGTGGCACCTGTCAATGTGTGGGGTATATTAGACAGCAAGTAAGTGTAAGGATCTGAGTGACTTTGACAAGGGCCAACCTGTGATGGTGAGATGACTGGGTCAGAGCATCTCCCAGTCTGCAGGTCTTGGTGGGTGTTGTTGGTCTGTAGTGGTTAGTACCTACCAACAGTGTCTAAGGAAGGACAAATGGTGAACTGGAGACAGGGTCATGGACGCCCATGGCTCACTGATGATGAGGTTGACCTACTGTAGATTCAACTTTTAACTTCCATTTGTACTTTTCAAAAGATTAAATTTGAATCTTTGTTAAAATGGTTGAAAATGAGAAATACTGTACATTGGTCTCTATGAAGAGAAAGAGTCAGGGGCTGTAGTGGTGATATCACACCTAGAGTGGTGAGGCTGTTGGATTTGTCTAAACAATTCTCTCTAACTCGTCCTCACGACCAGTTTTCACTTCTTTTACATAAGTTTTTCACTGAATTGTAGACACATCTGTGCTCTTCCTGACAGTAGAACTGTGGAAGTAAATGGATTCACAGAAGATGCACAGTGAACTGCAGAGTGACATGAGTGCCAACCAACTGCCATGTGGACTCCTATGTAAACAGTATTAGGCAGGTGGTCATAATGTTATGGCTGATCGGTGTATGGCTCACCTGTGTTTGACTGTAAAGCTGCTGCCAGTTTGCATACTGAGGACAGTTGCCTGCCCCAAACATCTGTGCTTTAATAGATCATTTGATTGAAGTGCTGCCCTGATGATATTTTGTTTGCTCACATTTACAAATTTCTTCACTTGGGATGAATAAAGATTTTTTTTTTAACTAATACATCAAGTTTATCTTAAATCAGTTGCCTGCTTTGCTTTAGGTAATCCAGGCTTGTCGCTGAATCTCATTTTTGTTAACAATCTTGAATTCATACCAAAAGTCTAACCATTTTTCACCAAAAGAAAACACTGTGCTAGTCATCTCTACCCCCTTTTACACTACCCATTCAACGCAGGACTTTTCCACTTCGCCCTTCTGTATGAAAGGTGGAAGTACCAGCACGGGGGGGCAATGTTGACCTTCCAAAATGCCACCATGAGAGGTGGTATTCTTGCCAAGATGAGTTTAACCCACCTCCTGTATAGAGAGAGTGGCAGCAGTCAAGAGAGTGAATAGGAGGAGGAGCGGCGTCAGTGAGAACAAAGCAGTCAGACGTCATAAGCATCACACCGCTAGTGCCGGGATTCTGGCAGCTGGGTAAAAAGAACACAGGAGCAGCAGCTTGCTGGCATTTTGAGTCTAGTTTAAGAGGGGCTTAAAGCCAAAATGCCACCTTGAAGGAGGGTCAAAACACCAGCAGTTTGCCACCATCTCTGTGTAAAAAGGGTTTAAGACAACTGCCACATCTGCACGGTGTATCATGCTCAGCAAGTTGCAGAGATGCTGTAATAACTGGTACAGAAGCAGATATGGCCAGTAATGGCATGAAAGTACTGCATAGGCATAGATGAGTGTTCACTGTGGTGAGTCAGGAGCAAAAAGGAAAACACTACAGCACTTTAAAACAGTGATACGATAGAAAAATATAAGCGCCTTCGGGGAGTTAAAATCGAACTTTTTCCATATGTTTACACTTGAAACAAATTCTGATTCATACTATTAACAATGACAGTTTTCATTATTTTTTTTACTATAAGACAAAGTATGAGCCAGTGCCAAAACTTTAAGGTGCTGAGTTAGTTATTGTTGCTATGAACAGCTGGCGGAGGCTAATGGAAAAGAGGCCGCTCTACAGGGGTTTCAAAGCCATTCAGCAAAAAACACGGCCTAAGCCTCCACTCCAGCGTCCGTGTGTATTATATATACATACATACATACTGTATGTGTGTCGGCTTCTGTCTTCACTCTCCCACAGAGCCCCACGTGCAGCCATTCCTCAATCAACACCAGTTCTGTTAGCCGCCTCCCAGCCCATGCCCAGAGAAAGTAGGCCAATGAATCCACACACACACACACACACACACACACACTGAAATACTGCGTGTCCACTTCCATGTGTCCTGAGAGCCCCTCTTTTCTCCCAGCTTTTCATTTCAGCTCTCCCTCCCTGCCGTCATCTCCCATTATTCTTCTCTTCCAGTGTGAATGGAGAGACATTTCCGCCCTGACAGTAACATCTGTCACCTTCTCACTTCTCTTATCTTAAATTCTTATTTTTTATTCTCTCATTTTCTATGCTCACTCTTTTCTGGCATGAGAGGGGGAAAAAAAAAACAACAACTTTTCTTTTCATATATTTTGAGAAATGACTTTCTTTCCAAGAGCATGTTCTCCCTGTGCCTGCATGGGTTCTCTCCAGATACTCCAGCTTCATTCCACAGCCCAAAGACAAGCAGCTTAGGTTGATTAGTGACTCTAAATTGCCTGTAGGAGTGAGTGTGGGTGTGTGTGGTTGTCTGTGTAAGTGTCAGCCCTATGACAGACTGGCAACCTATCCAGGGTGGATCCTGCCTCTTGCCCAGTGTCAGCTGGGATTGGCTCCAGCTGACGTTCAGGATAAACTGTACAGAAAATGGATGGATGGACTTTCTTTCCAGGAGGGTGATACAAAGCTGGAGTCGGGCCA